GGGTTTAGGGTTTAGTTTTAGGGTTGAGGGTTTAGGGTTTAGAAGAGACGCCGAAACTATTAAACTCGGGCTCTAGGTGGGTGCTGCACACTACAAGACAAAAACACAAAAACAGGAAACGCAATGCTATGGAAGCAGGATGCAAGGTGTAGAGGGGTTTTTGGTGTAGAGTTTGGGATCTGGGGTTTTTGGTTTCGGGCGATAGGGCTTTCGGGCCTTCGCAATCCTGAGGCGTGTGAGATCCCTGTGGGGCGGCCGGTCTGGACTACGTTCTACACCTGGAATTCAAATTCCTGTCTGAGAAAAGCATTCTACGAAGGGCACCTGCCGTTTCAGCTTCGAGTATTGCTACCTCATCTGCCACGACGAGTCTTCTTATAGTCGTATCATTCCTCTCCTCGTTCTTTCTGGTAGGTCCCTAGCCTCTGAGACGTAGACCAAACCGCGGGTTCACATAGTGGTTGAATTACGAACTATTCAGAATTCAGACCCCCCCATTACATAACGGACGGTTTCAAACCACATCAAACCCTCTGGAAGTGCAAGGGACCCCTCCCGCCCCTCCATGCTAAAAACCAACCGGAACTACAACATCAGCAGGAACTCCGAGCCCCGAACCCAAGCCCGAAGATCTAAGCCAGAAGCCCGGCACCCCTAAACCCTAAACTCTACACTCGCAGTCCTGTAGCTTTTTAAACCGGTGCTCGCTCCGGCCATCAGCAGGGCAGACGCCACCTCAACCAACAACAACGACAACGACAACAACAACAACAACAACAACAACAACAACGGCAACAGTAACAGCAACACCAGCAGTAACAATACCAATAACAACGACGACGACGACGACGACGAATAGTACACACAAACATGTGTTTGTGTACATGTATGTATGTATATATATATATATACATAAAGAGAGAAAGAGAGAGAGCGAGAGAATGTATACATACATGTACGTTGTCTGTACCTATACCTAACACACACATATATATATAGAGAGAGAGAGATATACGTATTCGTTTGTCTTTTTATTCGAGTGCTTAGTGTTCCTTCTGTTGTTGCTTGACTATGCATATATATATATATATATACATACATACATACATACATACATACATACATACATACATACATACATACATATACATGCATGCTTCCTGCAGTCTATACACACATTCTGATTCTTCGATCTAACTATTCAGCTGGTCTAGGTGTTTGAGCTATTCTTCCTGATGCCAACGGCACGGTCGCCGTTGCTACATGATGCCCTTGCTGCTAAACCCTAAGCCATAAACTTAATGATAAACCTTAAACCTAAACGGCCACTCTGAACCCTGAACCCTGGCATGAACACGAAAGCTGCTGTTGGGAGTTTCAGAAAGTTAGGGAGCCTTCGACCGAACCCGACATGCACGTGTCCTCATGTAAACAAAACGACATCTCCCCTATATAACTTTACTTTGAGACCCCCCCTCCCCTCCCCCGCCCCACACTTTCCGTCAAACAGCACCTCGAAATTGCCGAAGAGAAGGGAAGTCATTAGAGGAGTCGCCTGGTCGGCAATGACATTCGGAGCGGTTGAAGTGTTTGTGGTCGAAGGGCTGATACTGCATAGCTTATACAGTTATATTACATATATATATATATATGTACATATATTACTTGATAATATACAATTTACACTATACATTACTACTACATTATACATACTACCACCTATAATATGTGTGCATATATACACATATACATATATACATTTGTCATCGGTTCTACCACGGTATTTAGGGTCCAAGGATTCAGTGTTCATGCCTTCAGGTCGCTGGGGTTGTGCGGGAGGATACTCTGGGCCCACAAGGCGTTCATCTCATGCAGGGGCCTTGGCAGCTAGAACAGGTTCCTGTGTAAAGAAAAGGGTTCTATATGGGTGCTAAAATGACAGGGTTCTTTTGGGATTCTTTTTGTGTAGATTCTTGTGTGTAGGGGCCTTGATAACGAGAATGCCGTTTGGGGATGTAGTGTAGAACTTAAACTAAGGGACACGAAGGAATAGCAGCAGTACTTGTTCAAGCATCTAGATTCGCCAAACACCAGCGGAAACAAGGAAACACAACGAGCAGCGTAGATTCCAAACCTCAGACCCCCTTATATAATTCAGGAAGATGCCTTCAACTATTGCGGGGCTAGGGTTTTTGGGGTTTAGAGTTTAGGTGGTTGATTTATCGGTTCACTCCTGACCGAAAGTGCACTGAAGAAACCTAACCTCGCAGAATGAAAACTCCGAGCAGCAACCAAAGGTCTGCCCCAACACCGAACATAGGGGCCGAACTTAAGCTTGTTTGGATAAGTTCTATATTACAAATCAACAACCAAGATATAGATAGTCAGATTGAGAAAGCCCAAGGAACAGAACTAGTAGTTATTCAGGCCCCCCATAGTAAGAATGTGAACGTGAGAACGTCAACGTTCCCCATGCCTCGCCTTGTAATGATGGTAGGCCCATGTGCTGAACATGCTGCCTTTATGGTTTAGGGTTCAGGGTTTAGGGGTTTGGGGGCTTGGGGTTTAGGGTTTAGGGGTTTAGGGGTTTGGGGTTTAGGGTTTAAGGGTTTAGGGGTTTGGGGTTAGGGTTTAGGGGTTTAGGGCCGCGGAGTGGCATCTGAGGTTCAGTGGTTTCTTTGTTGGCTCAGAGAACCCTAGACCCGGAACACTAGACGGGTAGGCTTTAGGCGGCAGGGTTCAGGGTTGAAGGAAAACGGACACGGTTTGCATGGGAAGGCTTGAGCGAAGTTTGATTTTTTGCTTTGGCGGTTCTGTCACGTGCTCTGCTGCTGCGTCTGCTATTGCCTCCGAAGCTGTGTGCTACGGTCAACAGGCTCGGAAAGAATGCTACTGCCTGCTTTCGGAAAGACTGCTCGAAAATGGAATTTGCCAAATGAACTATATGGGTGGTTGTCAAAATTATGGTCCCTTTTTGGGTCCTTATTATAATACGGCACCTATTATTTAGGGTACCCCAAAAGGGACCCTAATTTTGACAACTACCCATATAGCATTGAGAGCTTCTCGTGGTGGGACCTCATGTTCGCCCTCGGTCGGGACTAAAGAGAGGCCGTGCTCTGGCAAAACCTACAGATCCAGATCTTCGAAGAGCGGAAACTCAGCGGAAATGATAACCGCAAACCCCATAAACCCCAAACCCTTGATGGTTTCAGGCTTAGGCTTTACGCTTGAGCATCTTACAGGGGTTGTTGAAAGAGTTTTGGTGTAAAGCCAGGCTAGCCGCAACCTACAACTGCAACGAGATCGCTTTTCTAAGCCACTCCAAAGCCCTGACCAGAATGGTAGCAAGGCAATTACCAAAGAGAATGCCGCTCTAGGCTGCTTGCCTTCAGAGCCTCAAGGGCCAGCTGGAAGCGGGCAAATGATTTAGGGCGTAGGGCTTAAGGTTTGGCTTAGAATTCAGGGCTTAGGGACCTCCCAGCTCCACGACGGAACCCAAAGTTATCCAGCAGCCAAAGCCCAAAGAACCCCATAAACCAGGAACATGGATGTATGGGATCTCGATGTTCAGCATCTTAGAATCATGGGGGCCGTCATCAACCACAGGACGGAAGGACCCTAAACCTTAAGCCCCGAAACCCTAAACCCTAGACCTAAACCGAAGATAACTCAGGATCCAAAGGGTCAGACGGACCTCTGAAGAAGACCCTGGAAACCTCGTTTTGAGCTTTTCTGCAGAGTTACGAAAGACCTTTGCGAATAAATGGAAATTACGGTGTATATCATAGTCTAGGAAATGCACGGACTGTAAATTAAACCGATAATCTAGCAGCAGGCCTTAATTCGCGAAACGAAATCTGCACAAACCTGGGGCCCGTTGGCCGCTAAAGTCAGAGCCCGTCAGCCGGCCAGGCATGAACCCTGATCGCCTGAACCCCTGAACCCCGAAACCGTTTCCTCCTTAGCTAAGCCACGGGTTCCAGTGCGATGCAGCAGGCTCTTGAGTTGGAGGAACATGCCCAACGGCTCCAGTAGGCTGGGCTTGTACCTGAAAGCATGCGTGCGCCTTGGGATCTGTTGGAAACTTCTGGTCGATGATTGCCGCCACAAGCTTCTACAGTTTGCAGTCTCTCAACCTACCTGGTCAACAGCAGCTGCTGCATGATCTTCTTATAGTCCCTATAAAACAATAACATAGTGCATACCTTACATACCCAAAACCTTATTCGAACTCTAGAGGCACCTATATGCGAACTCTCTCTTGGTCCGTTGTACAAACAAACCCCTTACAGGAAACCTTTAAGGAAACCTTAGAGAAACCCGCTCATTAATTAAGGCCCCTAGGCAAACCGAAACAAGGCCGCCCCAAAACCCAAGCCGAACCCCACACCCTAAACCTTAAACCCTAAAACCCTAAACTCTAAACCATGCCGAACCCTATACTGCTAGCGGAGCCTTGATAGTTAGAATACGATCGTTCTATCATCTTAGGGGCCTTAATGTTCTGTGGCATGTCTGTTACGTTTTGATTCGAATAGGGAACCCTAAGGAAGAGGATCAGCTATTTCTCAGGCTTCTATACCACAACCCCTTAAACCCTAAACCCCAAGCCCTAAACTACGCTCTTGCGGCTGGGTCACTGACGGTCGACGTCTGCTCTTGCCGCTACGAGTCTCGCCACTGCTCGCGGAGCTGCGCCGTTGATTGCGCAGGTAAAAAGTGGCTGGTCAGCGAGATCTGGAGGCCGGCGTCCATGCTGAGCTAGAAGCTCCTTGTTTAGGGCCTTTAGGGCGGGGGATCAGAAAACCCTAAACCCTAAAGGGTTTAGGATTTAGGGGCTAGGGCTCTGGGAGTTTAGAGCCTTTAAGGGCTATCAGCTATGAGCGCTAAAGCCGTTGAAAGGGCTGAGAGCCTGTGAGGCTTCACCGCAACAGTCAAGCTTCTACGATCCAATGATACGGGTAGTTCTCTAAATTAGGGTCCCTTTTTAGGTCCCCAATATAGTGAGGCACCCTTATAAAAAGGACCCTAAAAGGGACCCTAATTTAGAGAACTACCCCCATAGCCTTCACATTTCGAAGAGGAATGGGGAAGAATATTGGTAGCTATTTCAGCTTCTACGACAAATGCAGTTCAATCATTTCCCGGGGTCCTCCCCTGGAAGAAGCCCTGGTTTCAGGCTCAATGCTTGGGGTCTGATAACTGCTTAATTAATTGAAAAGGGTTTCAAGTCGCATGCCCATGGCAAAAAAAGTATAAGAAAAGCCCTGGAATCCCAAGCCGGAATCCTAAGCCCTAACCCCTAAACCCCAAGCCCGAAAACCTAAACCTCAGACCCAATTAAAACCCTAAACCCTGACCCTCCCGAAACCTTAAGCCCTGAGACACCCACCATTGAAACTTGCAGGAAGTTCCTTCACAAGAGCCCCGGTGTCAAGGCCCGTCTTGCAAGGTTCAAAGCTTTAGGAGTTTAGGGTTCAGGGTTCAGAGTTCAGGGTTTCGGGTTTAGGGTTTAGGGTTTAGGGTTCAGGATTTGGGGTTCAGGGTTCAGGTTTTAGGGTTCAGGGTTTAGGGTTCAGGGTTGAGGGTTCAGGGTTCAGGTTTTAGGGTTCAGGGTTTGGGGTTTGTTCCAGGTTCTTCGTGTCCCCTTTAGGGATCAGGCCTCCGGTCAGGTTCCGACGGTTCCAACATGAGCTTTTGGGTATAGGAGGATACTCGGATAGAAAAAGTGAATTTTGGGTCTTTTGTAGATGTGGTTTAAGGGTCCAGGATTCTCGGGGTGTTAGCAGCGCACGGATGCATACCAGCCCCAGTATGACTCAACGCAACACCCTGAATCCCTTACCCCCGTAAACCTCGAAACCCTGAATCCCAACCTCTGCACATTCAACCCCAAGCCCGATGCTCTGCAAGCAAGTCTCATCCAGCGCATCCCAGCCGGTATCGCTCGAAGACATGGCAGCGCTGTGCCATGCCGACAAGCCGAAGCTGTTCCTGGGCACCCAGAGAAGGCTTCAGGGTTTAGGGTTTGGGGTCAGAATTAGGGGTTTGGAGTTGGGGGCTTGAGGGGGTCAGGGTTTCAGAATTGTCGACAGGTGTACTATGATCCCACACGAACTAATCAAAACAAATTCTGGGATTTTGTATGGGCGTACACAGCATGACTGCTGAAAGCACACTGGGGTACCAGGTCCCTTGTCAGGGATATTCTGGGATTCCAATGAGCTCTGCTGAGCCCGAGCCCCACTCACATCGTGCCCCAACCTTCGACGCTCGAGAATCAAAGTTCTTGGACAAGCCCTGAACACGAAAGCGTCGGAGTTTCACAGAACATGAAGCACCCGAAGGGGAGCCCGAAATCCTGGGAGACGGACCTCAACGAAAACCCCGAAGCATAAACTCTGACGCAGTCTCTTGATTCCAAGGTCAGCTTTGTGACGGCAGAGGATCTTTACGGCCTCTGGGCTGCTCGGAAAACCAGGCTAGGAGGTAACAGGTTTAAGAGGCTGTCAGGGTTTAGGGCTCAGGAGCTAAGGCAGCTTGGTTGTCCCATCCGAACCACGACCCCCTACCACTGGAACTGCCGCTGATACCGCTACTGGCGCTCCTGGTGGCTGCTTCTGCGGCTACCACTACCCGTTGTCTGACTGCCACCAGAACCACAACGACTACCATGACCAGTGGCACTCTCAAAGCGATGCTTCGTGCTGAGGGCTGAGGGTGCTGAACCCTTTACACTAACCCGTAGCCACAGTCACGGGCGACCCCCACCTAGCATAGGATCGTCTGTCCCCTGCAATGAGTTTCTGATGGGTATGCTTCAGCGTCTTAGGTGTTACAGAGGGGGCTAGGCGAGGATCTTGTTTCCGCCTGAACCCTGCATGAGCTTCCAAGCGGTCCAAGCCGAAACCTTCTGAACCCTCGCCACCCCAGGCGATTGTCAGGAGGGGAGGCCTCCGGATTGTTGGTGAAGGCGGCAAAATGGAGAGGTGGCAAAAAGATGTTCTTCATGTTGATGGCAGCACGGCGCTGGATCAGGAGCTCGGCCACTTTCAGGTTCTGGAACTTGATGCTAATGCACCTGAATGAAGCTACTCCGAACCCACAAGAAGCCTGCTTCAATGCAAAAGAAGCTTTGAGTTCGGGGCTTGGGTGGCTGTTAGGGGGGTGTCGGGTCTTGGAGTCAGTCCGGCTCCCTGGGATTCCGCGGTTTTTTCGGATGAAAACGCCCTACCGAAAAAAAAAAAAAAAAAAAAAACATGAACCCAGGACCCTGAAGTCAGGTACCGAGGCACAGCACAGGGGTGCGCTTGCCAATGTCGGCATCCATTCGCGGCTTTCTCGTCGTGTCATTTGGGTTGGCACGGGCGTCCAGCAGCGCTTGAACAATCGTGGGATCTCCTCGAGAACTACAGAGGGACTGCACTCTTCGGCTTACGGCAAGCGGCGATACTCCAATGCGACAGCTCTAACAGCAAAGTCGCGTATGCTCCGGCCTAAACAGGAGTTGATTGACTTACATTGCGGGCGGTTATACGTTACTGTTTAAAAGCCTATCAGCTTCCACTTGTCGAAAGAACAGATTTTGCCCATGTCATGCCATGTCGACAGCGTCTCCTTTCACAGCCGCATAACCTCAGTGCCGTTCTTCGCTGCCCCCCCCGGTCTATTGCCACAACGAAAAGCTGAAAAGCCAAATATCCTGAAAAGCATCGTACCTTTACACCCGGAACCCCTCAAACCGTGAAAACACAACAAAACTACTGTAAGGGGCCTTAAAAAGGTAGAATGTGGTTTTGGTGTATCTCATAGCATACCTGTCATTTGGAACTCCAAGCTCGGCTTGCAGGTGCGAGGTCGACTCTATCATCTAGGGCTTGGGGTTTACGGTTTTGGG